AAGAGCCTTTTCTTCTCCTCACTATGAGCTGTGGCCTCTACACAAAATTCATCTGAGAATTATGTGTACACTTTCCCAGGGAAAGAAAAGACAAGTGTAACAAAAGGTCATAGCTGTATCACATGCACGTATTAACGAGCTAGCAAGGTTCAGCACGTACCACCACACAGGACCAGCTGTCTTCAAAGCAAGGCGAGAGTTCACAGGCCAATGCCAACGGAATTAACAAACGAGAAGTAGCTCATTTCTTAAAAACTGCAAACTCTCCTTCAACCCCAAAACCCCAAACCTGGACAGACTAGCTAAACTAATGGCTTGTCAAAGACCTTCCCTTTTTTATTTTTACTTTACTAATTTCTCAAACCAAAATGAGCTTGAACAACATTTTTGAAAAATAAAAATAGCGCAGTCTTGACAACGTAAGAAATCGCTAAAAGAAACTGTGTCAAAATGGTGCCAGCCAGCTAAAAGCCTGTGATCTTCAAACACAGCGCACTAACAATAGAGGCATTACGGTGCGACTTACATGAGATTGAAAAAGAAACAGTAGATGAAAGACAACTACGAATTCTTAAAGATTAATTGAGAAATTATAAAATGAGGGAGAAACACTCCAGGAAGTACAAATCAGTGTCTGTACGAACCAAGCTATCTTAACAGCTACTCAGTCACAGCTACTTTCCAAGTGTGCTAAACACATGCTTCCAGAAACACTATCATGTAGGAGGAATACAAACATTATTCCTTTTAAGACGTGGTGTCTCCAAAATCAGTTCAAACACATAAAGATGTTATAGTTGTACGCTGGTACAAATAACACGTCATAATCATTAACACCTACCTTGAACTAAAATGCAGAAAAAGACAAGCTCAACTTTACTCACTGAAACCACTATCACATGGGACACTCCCCACATGCCTGCACACATCCTCAATGATTCCTACTACTACTTTCCTTTATAATTGAGTAGATAGAGCTTGCAAGTCTTAGAGCTCGTTAATTCTATTTTGGGTGCCAAAAGCTCACAAGTGGAAGAAATCGTTACTAGCTCTAGCTGCCATTGTTTACAGGGATGTGATCTGCATACCAGGCCTCCTTTGGATATGGGTAAAGAAGCTTAGTAAAGGATCGTTATATTTTTATTGTGTAATATGGCGGAGGTGCATGATAACGTCGCTGCTGAGCTGAAGTACTACTGTAAGCTAAATCTGGAACAGTACATCTACAGGATAAACGTCGCTTACTGTTCACTAAATGAATTAAAAACCAGTGCCTTGAAGAAGGCGGCATTCTTTTGTTAGGAAATGTTATAAAGAGCTTGATTATACCACCAAAGCATCTCTCAACATTAGAGACTATTTGGGGCTGCATAACTGCCAAGATTTCTCAGGAAACAATTCTTCCATGGTATGAAAGGAGAACAAGCATATTACAATCCCTCTTGTACCTCTGCTCAACATTCAGAGTTAATCCTGTTTCTTCGGAGAGTGTAAAGAAATAATAGGACAAGAAAGCAGTACTCCATTTACTCTGAAGTGCAGGATTTTCAATTAGGTATTTGTATATTTATTGACCTACCAATATAGGAGCCAGAGGCCCTGAAATAATGGATTTTTTTTTTTTAATATTTCATAAAGTTTATGTGACCAAGGAAACATTGGTCTTTACAGCAATTGCCCATCACTGTTCTATCCACATAACATAGGAATCTTGGACTACAAACTTAGAAGTGAAGTCTGAGAACTATTTGCAATATGTAAGTGAACTTTATCAAAGTATCTTAAGTTTATTTAATTTACAGTTAAATGAACTCTTTTCATTTTTACTGTTGTAGGGAAATAGCAAAGCAGAAAAATACTGTGGTATGGTATGTTTTAATGGAAGCTGTCTCCAGGTGGGAAAAAGAGCACAGAATGACCTCGTCTAGTTGCAATTCTATTAAAAAATAATAACCATAAGAGACACTTGTATAAACTAATTTCTGCTGAAGGTACCTCCTGTGAAAGAAATGTAGCCTCTTAAATGGAATTGGAAAGAACCGCAAACCAAAGCTTACAGTGTTAGCATCTTGCTGTAATACACAATGAAGTATACATTACCTCAAAAATATTATGTTAAGAGCACCATTTATATTGCAAAGTCAAGTACTCTAGAGTTATGAAGTACTGGATTTAGGGTTGACTAAGAGGCCTTAAGTATGCACACTCCTCTGCCCATCTCGTCTCTGCACAGGACAAAAGGGTTGAACTGAAGTTGCACAAGTGGTCATAAATCTGTCACTTCCTAGCTTTCAATCACTTGACTCTGCAAACTGCAGAACACTTTTTACATGATGTTATGATATCATGTAATTTTCTAGGGTTCTCCTCCCCAACCTCATCTCTAGAAAATAAAATTAAACTCCACTACGTGTAGTTGTAACACTTTTTCTCTATTATACATCATCAACAGAGCAAATTTTTCTCTATTATACATCATCAACAGAGCAATACAGACTTCTCTATCAGCTGAAAAATAGCATCAAAAAAATAAAGACATCTCAGAGAAGGGATGGAGCACTGACTGGATCTAAGGATTAATTCCAGGGGAGAGAAAGCAAAATGTCTTTCTTCTGCTCCCGACTCCATCACTGTCCCACCATCCTAGTCCCTGGGGACTGGCAAAACTTGTGCTTCATTTGATGGCTCTACATGACAGATAATGCAAGATTCACTGAGGCACTATGCTAAATCTATGGAGAATTTACAGAAGGGAAGAAGAGCCTTTTTCCAAATGTCTGGTCCTAAAAAGTCTTCTTTGTCTATTTGTCATTTTCAGATCAGGCCACCAGAGGCCAAACTCAGCCCTCCACACTGTTGTCTGTCTTTTCTGCATTCTGAGTGGAGTATTTGTAGCTATGGCTACACCAGGAACAACATCTACACAAACTTACAATGGGTTATATGGACACGGGACAAAGGAAAAGTACTGCAGTAGCTCAGAAACGTTGCCCAAGAATCAACAGTGGATTGCAAACAGCAGACGTGCAAGAGTCCTCTAAGGCACATTAGCATTTCAAAACAGGAGGAGCTAGACAGATGATGTATGTGGACTGCCAACAGCTCCTGCTGGCTAAAATTTTTTTGACTAGGCAGATTTCATAGTTCAAGTTTGAGAGGCGTATTGAGAACACCCCTGTGAGCATCTGAGAGACAGTAACAAACTTCTGAATTCATCTCTGCTTTGTCTGTTAACACCTATAGCCTGCAGACACTCAGCAGCACTGAAGTGATTTCAAGTCCAATTAGAGTTTGTCAGCAGTGATGCTAATTTTCCCCCCCCCCCCCCCCGCAATTTCAGGCCTTATTTCTGTCAAAAAGGACATTTTACAGACTAGTCACTACTCAAAATGCTATTAGCAAGGCGTTTTCTTTATTTTTACATCGAAAGGCACAGCAGTTAGTGTTGTCAGTTGTTACCTTTCATCTTCAGTTTTATTTGGTTAGTCACATACCTCATCCTTAGATGTCTCAGAGTCCAGTTTCAGCGTGAGGAACATAACGATATGAGGCACACCTTGCATAGCCTGCTGAAGCTCCGTACTATCTTCTCTCCACAAGAGCCGAACCAGGTTGTTCATACTTGACTGTGCCCGTTTATACCTTTGCTCAGAAGTCTCTTCAGGCTCAAATATTGATGTTTCAAATGTAAGTTTAACCTATTAAGATAATTAATTATTGTGAAAATGAGGCTGTACTTACAATTACATTCTAGTATCAGATGAAATAGATGCCGTTTGAGCCCTTTAAGAACTTAAGTTTTCTTACTTTCCTGACAAAGATGTAAGCATTCTTTTTTCCTGCTGTTTCAAGAACACCAATTATATAGTCAGCATTACAGAACCATCTATTATTAAGGACAAAGCCACCTATTACATGCTCTATGAACCATGTGAGTAAGCATGTGGGTTTGTGTGTTTTCATGCTTAATTCTTACGGTTTTGAGAATGGAAAAATATACTTACTGCTCTGGGTTGGTTTGAACACAAAACCTATTGCCATGCTTTTGAAACACACACAACATTTCACTTCTTTTGAAATGTCAGCACTTTCACAACTATATAACCTCAAGGCTCTTTCACGAGCATTTCTTTGCTTTTTTGAGCACACTGACAGGTACATTTGCACAGGAAAATCACTCTACATTAACTGCAATAGCCTTAATTCGTAACACTCAGTAACAATTCTTCTTTCAATCTGCCAAAGTTTTCACTACCTTTTTTTTTAACATTTAAAGTCAGCAAACGAGTTTTGTTGCCATATTTAACAACTGTACACAACTAGCAAGAAGCATAAAAAGCATTAACATCACTTGCTGCATTAGGTCTTCAGAAGAAAAAAAATAATCAAAGCACTGTCTCTCAAAAAATCATTGTCTCTTAAAAAATAACTTCAAGTTTAGATGATTAAGCTTACTTTGTCAAAAAGTTACACGAGGTTTACTGTTCTTTATTTCCTAAGTAAAGTAATAAACAGGATTTTTAGAATAAACACAGATTTCTTGGCTTACAAGCAACACAAAATCCAAACTTGGTGTGGAAATGTGTTTCATAATTTGCTTTACAGACACCCTTTTTATGAGCGCTGCCTCACAAAAATTATTTTAGTTGTTCCAGTAGTTATGAAATGAGAGTAATTTTTTTTTTTGTTAATTAACACTTCATTCAAAGTATGAAAGAAGGCTATGTAAGAAATGCCTAGCTCTTGACTGAGCCTAAAATTGTAATTTCCAAAGAGAATAAACTGATTTATTTTCTTGGATGATACCTGAGTTTTCATCATTGTTCAAAATGACTGGCGATGTATCTATTTAGACTAAGTAGGCACACTCTCAGTTCCTTCTTTCATATGTTTGATTCAAGATTGTTTGTCTGCCTTGAAGTATCCTTAACATGTCTATTGACTGGGAAGTTCTCAAGATAAGACATTGCACCAAATGCTGCTTCTTTTTGAAGTCAGTGACAGTTCAGCCTAATGACTCATGCAACAAAAAAGGTTTATATTTTCCCAGTTGCAACAAATTTGAAAAGCCCAAGCAGAGGTAATTTATACATTTAAACATAGATAATTTATATTTTCATAATTATGTATGTGTATACACACACTTAAAAGAGAGGAGTGCCAGCAAGAAATAATGATGCTTTAAAACACCCATTGCCTGTCAAAATAGATCAGAGGGAAGTGCCATCATCAGCTCTTCCAGCTACAACATTTAAGTCCCTGACTGCCTTCCTCCCATTCCACTCAACTCCCTCCCACCACTTCTCATTAATCTTTTCCTCTCCTAGTTTGGCTGCTATCAGCGTTTTTATCTTTTCTCTTCCCATTCTCTGGCACAGCATTGCATTCAGTCCTGCTCTCCTGCCAAGTGCTACCACTTTCTTTTCTGCCAGTAACTCATCGCTCGCTCTCTCCTCATCACTTCAGTTTCAGTTCATTACACTGCATATTAACAAGACTCGAGGAGCAGAAACATCCAGCTAGGCAGCAGTGGCTTCTTAAGACCCAGTAACTAGATTGTTCACAGTTTTATAGATGTATGTTTTCTCCTCTGGCATTCCGTGACTTGGTTCTCTTTCTTTGTCACGCCATCCGCGTGTATTTCAGAGCATTTTCCTCACACCGTTTAACTTCTTGCAGATTTCCTCAAGGCTCAATAGTTACTTCTCTTAACTTCTGCTACATCTTATCTGTGGACACTTATTCATGACACTTAAGCTACAGTCTCTACACTAATGACACACAGATGTAATTCGTGCTGCAGTCCATCTTTTAGACTCTCAATCATAAAAAAACAACAAACAAGTCAGTCTGCCTTGTCTTAGAGACACAACCATATGGCCTTCCAAGCAAGAGCTCAAAACAAATTGGGCCAAACAGAACTTGAACATTCCCTCATCATGTAGGCATCCATGCTGCCTCCCACATCTCTGTGGGCAATACCACACCACTCAGATGTGAAGTCACTGTATTTTGAGAAAGATCTCTCTCCACAATTTGACTACAAGCTCCTTTCCAAATCTTCTTGGTTCTATCTAACAGCTTGAAACATGACATTGTTGTTCCACTCTACTTTTGTCCAAGTTCTAATCTATTTCCTGCCTTTAAAAATAAAAAATACTGTGAAAAAGACCATCTAGGCTGAAAAATGCTGTATTAGAAAACGACCGAGATACTACATTTCTACATATCCTAAAAAACTTTTTTTCTTTTTGTGAATAAGAAATGAATCTTTGTCCTGAGCAGTGCATGGGATCTCATTAAATATGTGGCTACTGAGGTACCCTTTTGTAAACACTGACTGTCTGTCACAACTTTGATTCCATTTCTCCTAAAGAAAATCAGCTCAACGCACAGCAAAAAACAGAAAAGTAAATGAAATTAAGAATGGGAAAAGCACAGAAAATATTAGTATTCCACTCTATAAATACATAGCATGCACACATTCCCAGTACTTAGAACAGTTCTCAAAAAGACTTTAACCAAACTGCAAGAAGACACTGATGAAGGTGACAGTAACAGCAAACTGAGGTACATAGATGGGGATTTTTCCACTTAGGAAAGAGGTGACAAAAGTGCAACATGACAGACAGAGCTCTCCAAAGTCATGGAACGATATGAAGAATTAAGACACGGACAGTTAACTCCTCACAATACAGGAACCTGGAGGTATGAAATGCAATTAATTAGATGGCAGTTTGAAAACCAACAAAAATGAGCGTAACACAAATCAGTTATGCAAATTACTGCTACAGGATGCTGTGTAGGTCAAAGGAATTGTAAGAACTGGATTAAAAGAGGAGAAGGTACAAGCCTGTAAGTGATCCAACAAGTTCCTAACTATTGACTGCTGGAAGCTGGAAAAGTATGATGGGAAGGTCACTCTGTATTTCCTTTGTTTCTGAACACTCTTTACTTAAACATTTGTCAGTGTAAGAAACAGAAAATGTAGCTGCTAATACTGTTGGTCTGACCCAGAAAGGCACGCTTGCTTTATCTGCAAGAAAGCTGTATGTCTTAGAATATGGATTTTATTACAGGCAGAGCTGGTGGCACTGCCTGCCTTTTGAGATTGCCTGCCATTTCCTGTTGTAAGTCTGTTTTCCATGTGCTTATGGTTTGCACAACTGTAACTCAAAATTTCAGGCTGAAATTTCTAAGCGTCTGCCTCAGGCTGAATATTTTTAGAAAGCTTTGGGTAAAATGGTTCTGCAACTTCTGAGTATCTGGGTAAGGAAAAGTATATTCTTTTAGCATACCTTCCTCCCTCCTATTCTGTCTTCTCTGTCTTGTGGTGCCTATTTTGATTACAGAAGTGTAAAACCGTATGGACTGCAGAATATAACTTTATCATACTATCTCAAGCATTGATTGAGGGGTATGCTTTGACCTGTCACATTCAGTGACTGCTATAGAACTTCTAAAAGTAATGTTCAATGTTTTAATCAGAATTGGGACTTTATCTTACTAGGTGACATGCAAGCACCCAAAGAGAAACAGTTCTGCTATTAAAAGAAGACTGATGTAGCATTTGGACTTCTATTGCTCAATAAATATGCTGCACCAGCCCTTACATGCCCAGAAACTAGTTTGCCTAAACTGAGGTAAGGAAAACAAAATTCTGGAAATATAATAATGAGAGATGTTATGCCACAAGCTACAACTGAGAGAATCTAGGTAGTTAGTTTTTGACATTATGTCCAGTAACTTTAACACTGAATCCAGAAAGCAGTGACTTCGCTTATGTAAATAACTTATAACTACTGTAAAATGGCTTTAAACTGCATCTTTTTTGATATTTTGCAACATATGATGAATGAGAATACATTAACAATTTTGCTTGTGTAACAGCTGTTTAATTACTAAATCTCAGAAACAACAATGCTCTGTTTCTTCAGCAGCATGAACACAGTGTTCTACGCTGCAAAAAACCCCCAGAACTCTGCATTTAAATTCTCCACTGGTCTATTTCAGCAATCATTCTTCTGGCTTCATTCAAACTACACAGTAAAAAAGGAATAATTGCACTTTAATAAAAGGTTTTGGGAAGCCAACATGACAAACAGTTATACATTTCAAGTAATCGCTGTCTACTTGACAGATTTACTGACAATGTAAACATTAACGTTGCACTAACAGTAACTACTATACAAAGGGCTGCATTGCATTTTAGCAAGAAGTAATACATATACTCTAATCTAGCAAGGATGCAATTAAACAAACTATATAATCTCTGCTTTTTAAATCATTCTGTGTTTAAGAACAGTTACAGCAACTCCATATTTGGTCAAAGACAGGGAAGACAGGGTTTTTCTACCATGGAGCTCTGCCAATACCTGACCACAACTCTGGTAGCTTAGACAAGCTTCATCCTGTCAAATATCTTGGAAAGCTTCCTAGACTGACATACTCATACTCAATCTTACTGCAGTTGCAGCTGTAGTTCTACAGGCACTTATACTACGTGAGATGAGAACAGAAGCACATTTAACAAAACCTAAAATTTCCTCTTCATTTTATCTCTGGACAGTAAAACATTTCTATTAGTATCACTTCATATATTCTACCTGAAGAAGAACTACCAAGAGGTTACAGACATACTGTAAGAGACACTGTAATTTTAACCTGCTTCATCTCATATCTACAGGTTGCAACTTTTACTTTGTCTTCCTGTCTACCAGGAAATGGATTTAAGCAGAATAACTCAAAATACTTAATTTTACGTTACTAACCACCTACGTAATTAACACTCTCCTAGTTTAATTATGAAATAGCTATCTAATTCTTTATTAGTTAATTAATTCTTTATTAACCCCCCCAAATTATTATTCAGCTAGAAGAGAAGATACATACAGTAGGTTTGAAGGGAGGAAATATTATTCATCAGGTCCATTTTTGTTTCGTTTTGGTTTTTTTTGTATCAATTTCTATTACTGACTTCTATCAATCTTCACAATCTTCATCACTGTTCAGTTTTGAAAGATCTTAAAAGTATTTCATCTAATAGCTCTTAAATACTCAAGAATGTATCTATTTAAATATGAAAGTGGTATCAATTTCTCCATTTAATTGCTCTTAAATATCTTGAATAGCACTACTTGTTAATTCAGGCTTGCTTTTACTCTCTTGTGGTTTGTGAGTCTTTTATATTGATGGAGAGATACTTATTTTATATAAGTATTTCCATAGCAATTATTACCATTTTAAGAACAGTAATTGAAAAAAAAAAATAAAGCCACTACAATTCTGCAGTTGACATATTTATTTTTAAGCTAGACATCAATATCTTGCTTTATATATGCTACTGCCAGATTGCACATCTCCAGCCCTATTACCCGTCAGGAATGAGGCATCACAACATTACATACTTTGTCCTTCGTTTGCCGAGATCAGTGTTCAAAATAACCACCATACTTGCCATCTTTGCCCACAACTGCAACTATCGCTGGTTAAAAGTTTGTGCAAATCTCAAAGGAGTTACTTCCCGTATTCAACAAAAAGTAAGTAACTTTGATGCAAGTGGTAACATAATAATGAAGTTGTTTTCTGAGCAGGAAAAGTAGTAAAACTCGTTTTTTCACATATATATGTACTAGTTCTCATAGAGAAACATGAATACTCAGGATTCTGCAAGCACAGAATACTCTGATTCTCATACTGGGCAAAAAAATCAGGCGTTATGGTTAGTCTAAACCTACAAGTGTGCTGCTATCTCTTGCACCATGTTGCATGTGCTTTCTGACTCTGGCTGATGACAACTACACTATGTAACAGCTGGCCTGTGCCTAATATCGCTTAATGAGACATTGGCTGCAGTCACTTAACTGCACCTACCTATTTTTACAAAATTTACTAGAATTAAACTCTGAAATTTCTACTGTAAGTTTGACTGAAGTCAACCAATGTGTTCAAAAAGTAGATGAGGAAAAAAAAAGGAACAGAACCAGAAACAGTATTAATTTTTACAGATATTTGGGATAAATTTTCAACTACTGTACCTGCATAGGACCTGGAATGCAAGACAAAACCCTTTCTATGTTTTCAGAATTCACATCAACATCATTTACAGCAACTAGAGCGTCTCCTGGAGATAAAACAGACAAAACCATGAGAAAGTCAGACGGTATTACACTGCAGTGCAAAGGCAAACAGTGTTTTGTTTTAAAAATTAACACGACATTCAAACAATCCTGTCTTTTTGTTACGCTTAAGTAGATGGTTTCTACATGCAACATTTCCTATGTTTAGAAACATTAGTCTGTTACCTCAATGCTCTTAAGGCCTTGCTGCCACGTTTGTATCATTTTACAAAAGTAATTGTCAAAGCCTCTCCCCTCCATCACGGCTTATATCACTCTCGTTACTTGATCGGAAAATCCAACAACTTCACCAATCAAGTTATGCCCAAGAATTACTTTTTTCCTTCCAAAACCACTTCTGTTCACTTGCCAAAACTTTTCCACTGCTTCCTCCATTGATACAAACACTACTGTTTCCAAAAGCATTCCAAAACTCACTCTTCCTGTAGCAGTTTACAAGTTCTAAGCCAACACTTACACCAAAGGTTTCAAGCGTTGGCTGAGCCTAACCATGGGAGAATCCCACCACCCCTGAGCTGCCCTCTTTGAAGCATTCCTGGCAGTTACCGTGTGTATTAGTAACTCAGCTCAGTTCACTAAACTGGCAGAGAATCATTCACTCTTCTGATTTCATCCCTACACCTCCTTTGTCTCTCAAGCTACATCACAATTCAGTCCTTTCTTCTTTTCCATGCCTCGCCCACTGCTGTGGCTTCTTATTCCATCCTCTTCATGCTTTTATCCGCCAGTTCTTCCTCCCTAGTGACATCTTGGTTTTCTAAATCCGACTCTCTTCTCATTACTGGAAATGGGGAGAAAAAAAATAGGACCTCAAAGAAAAAGTGTTTAACTGCAAATGGAAAAGGTTTGAAAAATTAAAGGCACTAGTTATGAAAAGCAAACAGAAACAAATTAGAGCTTACAAAATTAAAACCCAACTGGGATTTCTATCTAAAGTGAGGGAAAATATTCTAGAGAAGTGTCCCAGTAATAATTAGTTGATAACCTCGCCTCCCTCAAAAAGATGAGTATTTAAGCATGGAGTATGTAAGAAGGATGAGCAGAGAAAAAAAAAACCCACACCCATGAAGTTAGAAAACAAAGCTAAAATAACATCAAAAGATAAAACTACTTAGACCTGTCAAAAGGAATAGAAATTGAAAAGGAAAAAAAGAAGTTTTTTTGGCCATTCATCTACTTAAAAAAAAAAAATGGAAGCAATAATAAGAAAAGGACACATATTAAAGATATTTCAGATATGGTAGTGGGAGACTAAATCAACCAAAAGATTTGATTACTTAAGCTGGCAATTTAGAACATCAGTCCAACATTTAAGGTGAGATTTTAGGTGGAACCCAAGTCAGAAAAACTGTCACTAAAAGGATAGTCCTTCATGGTTTCTCTAATGTCGACATCCAAAGTTGGAAGCACTTTTCAGTATAAAAGAAACGCTATATCACAGAGTAAGAAACCAGTAACTATTACCGGAATAACAGAAATATAATGGAATTAAATAGTACATTCCTTCTCAGGAAGGCAGTCAAGTAACAGAAAACATGAAAAAGACAAACTCAACACCCGGGTACTTTAGGAAAGACATTTCCTTTGAATGTACATGAGCATTAATAGGACCTGACAGGATCCTATCCAGAGTACTCCTTACAATTCTATTGACTTGTGCTTAAGAAAATGAAATCAAATGAGATCTCATACATAGAAGTAATAATGCAGTGTCCATGGGAGATGGAGAACCTGTTTATGATGGTTAAAGATGAGGTGAGTAAAGCCTAAGTGTGAAAGCATCTAGAGGAGAAATCAGAAGGTTCTGTAGTCTCAAAACAGACTTTTGAAAAGCTGTTTCAACAAGGCTAGCTAGTGCAAAATACCTACGATGAAACAACATAAATTTATGAAAAGAACTATAAGAAGTGACTGCCAGTGGAACCAGGATATAGGACTTGATGGCTCATTAGGTCCTTTCCAGAGCCAAATATTCAATTTCAGAGTAACAAACTAGGACTTGTTTTCAACTTGATTTTCTTTGGTGTCACTTTCAATTGCCTCTCCCTTCTGTCCTGTTGGGTGAAAAACTCGATTAGTTCCAGCTTGTATCTCTGTCTGTAAAAAGGGAAATACAGAAATTAGCTGCTTACTCAACACTGAAAGTGACTTGATTCCAAGGTCATTCTTACGCCAAAACACCAAGAGCTGCTCTGGGCGAGCAAACTGAAAACCAAGCTTAGTTTTGCTTGAGCTGCCCAAAGACTCCTGGAAGTACCTCCAAATCCTCTCCAAGATTAGTAATACTGGCATTTAAAAGAGAGTAACATGTAATGTGAGACACTTAAATGACTGAAAAAAGAATAAAGAATTGCCTGAGGTGCTCTATTCTAGGTACTCTTGAGCTTTGTTTTCTAAGGAAATGAGGCTTCTACAACGGTATGATGAGCAGCCTTAATCCCGTTACTAAATTTCAGCCAAAGCTGGAAGAGAAGGCACAAGCCATGTTACATGCCACAAGTTCTCTTAATGACTGCTGGATACAGAAGCTCCTTCCACTCCCTTTTCCTTCCTTCTCCTGCCCCAGGTAAAGCTGCACCCTGAGCTCATCACCTGGCCTCTCTGTGCTCCGAGCTGGCCCGTCTGGACAAGGGCAGTTCCGAGCCAGACACAGCGAACACTGCCTTGTCCAAAAAGCTGTTAGAGGGTATTATAAAAGCAGTATGAGGTATCCCCATGGGTGGGGAAAGGCACAAGGGGAGGAGTTCTGGGACTGGCATAGTGAAGGTATGTGGATATAAGGTAAATCCAGAGACAGGTGGACAGTTTGTTATTTCATCTGTTCACAGTTTGCTTTATTATTTGTATCTACAGCTATATCTCATCACAGTCAAGTGAGCCTTATTGAAAAAGGTGAAATAAACCATCATGTCCCTCACAACTATTGCTGCTACACTTCCAGGGTTCAGGGAATTATATGAATTTCAGAACGCACGGGCTAGAAGCAGCAATGGTGACACCTGTCCTTTTCTCCTGTGCCAGGACATGTGAAAAGCCAGAGGCAGCATTACAGCAGCATTCCAGCAGCATTCAACTACACCTCAGCCAGGTGATAGCAGCAGTGCTCATCACTCTTTCAAGCAGGGTAAAGAGATTAGAAAAAGGATATGGATTTGTAGCAAATGTGCATGTTAGTATAATTATATGTTAAGCCTTGTCTTGGCAACAAAAACGTGCTCAACTGCAGAAATAAAGCACTGCGCAACTAAGGTTCAGTGCACATTTCGACTTTTCCAGGGAGACTTGCTCAGCTCAAACTAACACAGTGATGATAATCATGTGCACATGACAGAAAGGCAGAATCTGTGTCTCTAAGGTCTCTCCATTTCCTGAGAATATAATAAAGACAACAGAATCTGAAAGTTTAGAAGAATTCTGACAGTTTGTCATTATTTCTATCTTCTACCTTGTTGTTAAATACCATCAAATACAGCTGGAATTCTTCCCAGGTACCAGGTCGATTGCTCAAAATCAGTGCAAAACACAATTAAGGCCAATGAGAGAAAGGACATTCTTCTGAACTAACCATCAGTAAGGAAATACAGAATCTCCCAAAAAGGCAAGCAATATTCCTCTTTAATACACTAGGCACCAACCATCTGCTCACTGGTCTTTTACATTAAAGGAAAATTCATTTCTACTCTTTCTTACAGCAAAACAAAAAAAAAGTTAAGTTTTATTATACACACAAAAATGTTATTCCTTGGAATGAATTAAATAGTTTTTTCTGCTTCGAGTAATAATAGCTCTCTCCCTAACCTCTGTGTTTCTTGCTGCAAAGCACAGTGAAGTTTTAGCCTATCGAATTCTCAACACAACAATAATTCAAAAACAGGAAAGTTGAAAATTAAATAGCATTTTAAAAGCAACTCAGTAAGTCCATGCCAGAGCCCCAGGACTTGAAAATTAGTAATCAAAAGCAGAACATTCAGGCTACTCTAACATAACAAGAAATTACAAACACAATCACTACAATCTTTGTTGAAGTACACTGTATTAAAGATCATCATTCACAAATACAAGAGAAAGCAGAAATTGCTTTTGTACTCATCTGGAGCACTGTTTAAACAAAAGTTGTTTGTGTTCTGTTTGTTTTACTAGAGACCTCACAAATTCTGTTGCAAAGGCAACAGTCGAGTCATCTAACCCACAAAGCCATTCAAACAAGCTGCACACAATTTGTGGAGACATACGCACCTTAGCACTTAAGGGAATGTTTTTGAAACTCGTCTCCCAGGGTGGAATATACAAAGACACTTTGAAAGGAAAGATCCATCACTATTTACATGCTATATGCTCAAAGTGTTTTATTTATTTGATGCCTAATGTACATATGTAAAACTTTCATTGCAGCAGTAAATATTTATCTCATTCAATTTGTAAAAATGTAATCATGTACCATAAATGGAAGAGCTTTCCAGAAGACACAGCCAAAGCAGTCCTGTAAGGCTGCCTTCATTTTGCCAGAAAATGCTGTATCACTACTGAAGACCTGCAACTCGATGTACTACTGAGAAAATCTACATTTATCAGCATGGACTTGGCAGAATCAGGGGTGGGGGTGTTTGTGTTTTTTCTTTCTTTTCTTTTTGCCAAACACAACAGCATTCAAAGAATAGACTATGAAGCAACAGAATGAAAGACATCACTGGCACAACAGGAAGTATGTAAAATTATGAACACAGAACAGCTTAAAGCAGAACACAAGATGTACCCAGTGTGATAATTAATGCCAGCAAAAGAGTTTATATATGCAAGTGTTCCTTTATTACAGTTTCACATTGACACTTTCTTTGAGAATTATTTCATCCCCTTTAGCAGTGTGAAAAACTTACATCAAGTGAGACTGATTTAGGTCTTCAGACATTTCAGTCTGTCAAAAAATAGTGCAAATGTATAAAGTTTAATCTAATTTCACTCACTTAATGCTTAATCAGTTTAGGCT